ATGTCATACATATACATAAAGGCTAAGCAACTGTCTGACCGTCCAACCAATAGCTATGATGCGCAATGACCACCAGTGGGCAGACACTCAACGCAGGAGCTGCCGAGTGTTGATGACTTGGTAGCGACAGTTCTTAGGTGACGCATCCTGGAACCAGAGAGGAGGGAGCCCAATTCCAGAGTACATCACCTGAGAACCACCTTCTTGCAATCCAGGACCCCTTCGCGGATGTCGGAGAGCTGGTTTTGGCCCGATCCCTGCAGGCCAACCGGGGAGGAACTGCGGGAGGTTGGCTCCAGGGTGTGCCATGCCCATCTTGCCCAGTCCTACCCCACCAGCCACCTTCTAATTAATTTCCTTTCAATGTGCACTGGGGCAATAGTTAAATATAATTTTTCAGGTTATGATTTGCCTTTTCACCCTTTCAGTGGTATCCATTGATGAATAATTTTGGTGTTGTTGAATTGATCAATCTCTTTGCTTTATGGTTGAGCTTTTTGTGTTTTAAGAATTTGTTTCCAAATTAGGGATCAAAGATATTTTCTTAGGCTTTTCTAAAAGTATTACAGTTTGTCTTTATAATATAAACCTTTGAACTATCTCGATTTGGTTTTTGTGGATCTGTACAGAGAGATCAATTTTCACTTATTTATTTAAATACTAGAGGCCTGTTGCACAAAAAGATTTGTGCAATAAGCCTTCCCTTCCCCTGGCTGCCTGCACCAGTTTTCCTTCAGCGCTGGGGACCCAGGCCTTCACTCTGGCCAGAGCTGTCTTCAAAGCCTTTGCTGCTCCAGCCGGAGCTGCCTTCAGTTTTCCCTCTGCCGCTTCCAGCCTACATATGCAAATTAACCGCCATCTTTGTTGGTGGTAATTTGCATATCTCGCTGATTAGCCAATGGGAAGCATAGTGAAGGTTCGGTCAATTACCCTGTTTGTCTATTATTAGATAGGATATTTTTATTAATTTCAGAGAGGAAGGGAGAGGGAGAGAGAGATAGAAACAGCAATGATAAGAGAGAACCATCAATTGGCCCCACACCAGGGATAAGCCCACAACCTGGACATGTGCTTTCCAACCCTATCTCCCCCACTTACTGTTCCTTCCTGACACAACTGTGGCCTGAAGCTTTGAGGATTAGGAATGAGGGGAAACCATATGTGTGTATGCACATTTCATGCTTGTAAGAACACAGTAATCTACCTGCTTAACCACTACCAACATTTATGCAGTAGCATTCTCCTGCCTACCGTAAATCCCGAGCTGCTGTTTTCTTCTTTAGTTTTGTCCTCATTTATTTCTGGGACATTCCTCATAGATTT